GAAATGTTATGGTGACATTTACGTCAGATTATGGAACGAATCTATTTCTGAGAGCAGTAATTATGTTTTCATTCCGATAGATTCTTTTTAGCCAGCATTTAGATTCTTAATAACTTTTTGAATACTCAACCAAAACGTTTTTTTTTTACAGGTCAAAGCTTTGAAAAAGTGAACTCAATTATGATCATTGAATTGGTACTGCTTTGTTTGATATTTTTCAGTTTGATTTGATGTTCATCACTCAGTTAAAGGTGACTTGATCCCCAAGGAATAAACGCACTTAATCCTGATATATGAGTGTGAAAGAAATAATGCTCTGTTAGGGAGACCGATCCTTCAGAATTTTGATACATGTACATGGGATGTTTGTAAACATAATATTCACATGCCTATTATAAAAAGAGATTCAAGTCTCCCCTAATTTGTAAACTAACTTTCTTGGTAAATTTCAGAAAGACGTAGATTTAGTAATGTAGTTATCATGCCATAGGCAAAAGAAAATTAAAAATCATAAGGAAGGTTCCTGAGCCTAAATAGCATACACGTACAAGAAAACACGTACTTTTCAGAATTGCTATATATTATATATTTATACATCACACACATTATAATACATGATGTAATGTACAAGTAATATTTATTAAAACATTAAATGTCTGGACTCTAGCTGATATTCGGGTACATTACGGCACTCGTGTTAAGGGGGGAAATACAAGTATAATTTTTTTTATCGATTTTTTATATTTTACTTTTACTGCGAGCACGAGGAAGGAGTGATCTATGCCCCCGGTATCGCCGATTAACCGTAAGTTCCAGAAATCATGTTTTTACACAACCCAAAACTTTAAACGCATTTTTCTCGAAACTGTGTTTTCCAAATTGGCGGGAAAGATAACTCAAAAAGTTCTCATCCAAATGACTTAAAACTTGGCGCATCTTAAAGGAAATAGATTTTTAATTTATGTGAACCACTGATATCATGAAAAAAATTAACAATAATTAATTTTCAGGTCTGCCTAAAGTGAAAAAAAAACTGTTAAAAATCAACTTTTTTTCGGATATTTTTTTCTAAATTTTTAAATTGTTTTTTTTTTTTTGGTTTTTGGGGGTTTACATAAAACAAAAATCTTTTCTGAATAAGGTTCAATTGATAAAAGTAAGTTTTGTCCATTTTTCAGGTCTCTAGAACGCCCGCAAATTACCAATCACCACCGGAGGCGACCTCCCGAGCAAAGTCCGTTAAAAAATTAAAGCAAATCGATATTAAAGTTTGCAGTTCCTATCATAATGAAAACTCATTTTGATTTCAATTGTCGCGACAGAAGTCTGATATCATATTGTGCTTTCATTATGCAGTCAAGATTTTTAAATCAAAGCAACTTAACTTGAAGTTCTGTTGTTAATTTCTTGTTTAACATTTGATTTAAGTTCACCTCCTAAATAAAGCTAAATAATAATAATAATAATAATAATTTAAGTTCATCTGTCGTTGAACTAACGATTATTGTTCATTTGTTTTGTTTAACACATTTTAGGTTATTCGTGACTAGCCCGAGGTGACATTTGAGCTCAAAGCTACCTTTGTACGACAGGCCCGTCTTCAGTCAAACATTATGAATGCAAAATCAGTAATCAAATTGATTTCATTGAAAGCAGAATTAGTTTTCCGTTTGATTCAACAGTGTAAAATTTTGCTTTCATTTTTGCTGTGTTAACCGTTAAGTCAACCAAAATGAGATCAAATGGAGTATTCAAAATAAGTAACATCATAACAGCAAATTCTGATTTCAATTTGATCTCTTACTTTGCTCGGGCTCCTTCCAATGTGACCCCAAGGAGTCACAGAGGTCACACACCAATGAAAAAAATCTCAAATGTAGAGGAAAATTTAAGCAATTTAATGCAAAAAACCCCAAACGTTTGCGTTGTTTCATTTGCTCACAAAAAAAATCCGAAAATCGTCGAATTTTTTACGTGTTACTTGTATTTCCCCCCTTAAGCAAACAATTTTCCCCTTTTTCGCAAAACAATAGAAAATGAGATTAAAGACACCCCGTTTTACTGTACTAAATAACTGAATACAGTTATTCCCAAATTTCCATCTGCCAAATATCCTCAATCATGTTATGTTAATGGGGGGTTCATTTGGATTTGGGCGAAAATCGTGCAAACTTTGCGAATTTTTTGTGGGAAAACGAAAAGACATACAAAGTTGTGCTATTGAGTTTTAATGCGTTATAAAATAGCGGATCTCGTCAGCTTCTGCGAACAAAACAATGTCCCCTGCTGTCAATTGTAGGGCCTTCTGTGGTAAACTGAAATGAGTAACTGTCATATATTATGAAAATACATAAAATTTCCTACGGCATATACCTAACCTAATCAAATTTTTAACGAAAAAAACCTAACTTTTCGGACATTTAAAAAAAGTAATTTTTTGCTCTTTTTTTTACATTGATCTCGTTTAAAAATTATAAAAAAAAAATCATGCCAATAATAGGTATAAGCCGTAAAGAAAAGTATTCCCTTTAAAACTATGTTTGAATGAAGCGAATCGGATGAAAAACGCGCTTAAAGTTTTTGGCGTAACATGGGTTCGTTCGTGACATGGGTCCGTTCGAGACGCTTTAACTCGAAAAATACGTATTGTATCGGAATATCCTTTGACACATATATTCTGCACATGTGTAGTTTTCACTTTAGGTAAAAAAAATCGATTTTTTCGACAAAATCTAAATGAACCTCCCCTTAAGCGTAGAAAGCTGTGAATTAGTAACTGTTTAAGTGTTAGAAAAACTATGCTGAGAGCGGCAATTAGTTCCATTTTAACGCCGAAAGCCACGAAGATTATTAAACCTTTGACTTAGTATGCTTTGCTGCACTTTGCTATCAAATTCCACTCACTCTATTCAGGAAAATTCCATCAGATCACTGAACCCATCCAAAACGGTCCATTTGGCTTCCTTTTCAGTTCTATGCGCGTATTTCACGTTATTAGTTGCATTCTGTTGCGAATCTGCTACTATTGCCGCATGCAATTGGGTTGCTCTTGTTGAAAAGATGCTTTATGTCATTATATTATCTCGACTCATCGTTTGTAGGCGATAAGAATTGGTTTCGACGCTCGTATTCTATTAACATTAGCGCAAATGCTCTTCACAAATAAATCGGACTAGTTTAGCCTTTCCGCATCTATAGGTACATGCGAGAATGATGCGAGCAATCGTCACTTCTTCCTACTTGCAACAAATCAACGACAGTTTGAATCTAAACCAGACATTCAGGCTTCTGTCCATCTAGGCTATGCTATCCAATAAGGGCTTGATCCGTCACGGAATCTAATAAGGATCCATTTTAAATTCTATTGGCATAATTTAAATTTTAATAAAATAATTTTCACCTCGATCCGAGAAATAGATTTTATTCAAATAAGTAAATTTGTATGCACAATATGTTATTTGATATTTTCATAAATTTGATCACCCCGAACTCGGTGTCCAGCAATTCTGGACGTGCGGTAAAATGCGTTGCATGCATATGTATTTTTGACGCCCTCCAAAGGCCGTATCATGACACACACGCACCGAGCGGTATAAACAGATGTATCTACTGTGTATCTACAGAATGTGCATCATCCGAGAAGGAGATTGCAATTGTGCACGAAATATGCATCCCAATCAAATGTGTTCCCTTCCGTGTTCCATTCGTTGAGCAGCACGTTCTGGCGCCACTACGCAGCAAACGTTCGGAATCAATGCATTAAAATAGTTGATTTTCGAATAATCAGATTATTATAAAAAATAAGAATATAATATTTATAACACACACGTGTGAGAACGGATGGGAAACTACATGCAGTACAGATGTAACCAGCAATGCTCGAGGGATAAACTAGTAGAAGCTCATTGACAGGTGAGCACGTTTAATTGAATGCAGAAAAAAAATGTGTACACAATTGAGTGTAAATTGCGGGCAGCAAAATACGTATCGAAAATAAATTTCATCAACTAGCTTCCCATCACGCGAAACGGAACGTGTGCCCATTATCAACGCGCATTCGTGATAGCGAGCCCTATGGGTTCATCCACGATGGGGGTTCACATTGATTGAGCATCAAAATACGCAACACTAGAAGGGCATGCTACGATGTTTGTCAAGTGGTCGGTTTGTTATGATCAGAACACGGCTGATCTCACTATTTACGTTAGGGAGATGGTGTTTCTGAAAAAGTGTTTCCGCTATGAAGTACGATGTGATAATCTACTAATTTATTAAAATTTGGTTTAAAAAAAACCATTCATCCCACGCCATGTACACTTGTCATAAGCGAGTTAAACAAGACTTATTCCGAGGGTAGATTTGATCCCTCAGGTTTACTGCATGAGTCGAACCGGCTTATAACTATCATGATTTGGATAATCTGCTATCGATCTGCGGACAATATACTGCGTTGCGATTTTGAATTTGGTGCATAGGTATGAGATCTTGAATCATTATTTTTATCTTATGTTAAAAAGCATAGAGACGAAATATGAATTTACAGAGGTAACACTGTACTGAAGCATCATCCAATCAATAAATTGATTGTTATTTTTTTTTTGAGAAACTGAACAATTTATGACATCCAATCAATGATCAGAGATGCTTCTAAAAATAAAACACGACACTACCAAAAATACCAGTGCAATTATAGTCAATTGCAACCAAGAAACTGGTTTCCTGGTAAAAAAAATAATATCGATTACATTGACATCTACCATCGTCCACTGCCCAGTAGCCGTGCTCACATGTAGCCCATCATGACTTTATCATATCTTCACCCCCCCTCAAACATGATGGTTTAAAAAATGTATGATTTTCACTCGTATCACCATCGCCGATGATATCCGCACACATACTTATAGCAGGACAGATGACCAAGTAAACTTTCTTTTTTTATTCAGTTTGACTGTGCACCAACATCGAAACGCAAAACGTGGAGAAAAAACTGTGACACTAACCTTCCATCCTGCGCTGCTATTGGAGTCACCCTTATCTTTAAAATATGGCACATTCTGCACCATCCATTCATATATCTGGCTGAGCGTTAGTCGGCTATCACTTGCTGAACTAATTGCTTGTGTAATTAAATCAGCGTACGACAGGTTACCCCAAGCGTTGCGACGCGATGAATTTTTCTTGGTGGTGGATGACGCTGATTGCGGTTGACTTCCATTGGCACCTGTGGAAAAAATAAAAAGGAAGCGGAAAACCAACCATCAGAGAGGAGTAGTGTAGAGAGTGAAATATGGGAAGAATATTGAAGGTGCATGAAAACTGAGCCCAGAAGGAACAATAATAACTAACGATGAAAAAATTGATTCCATTTTGAGTAATCACCATTTCAACAAAGTTTGAGCTTATTAGACATATGGTAACATACTGGATACAGTTCATAGGGTGTAGAACGCTACTTTTATCATAAAAAATTTGCAAACGTAAACCAAATTTCGCCTAAAAATTGGAAACCGTTCAAGAGATTCATGTTTTTTTTTTCTCCTCAATTTGTTTTCCGTCGATCTTGTTTTCTGGGAGGCAGCACCTACACCTGGACCCTACCTATCGACCCATCAACTCATGGACCGGGGCCTCAGAACATCCCGGCGGCGCCGACTGGGATTGAACTCAGGCCTGCTGGGGTGAGAGGTAATCACTCTTACCACTACACCACCGGCGCCTAGAGATTCATGTTAATTTCGATGATTTTGAGCTCACAAATATTGAATCAAAAACCGATGTACACTATGGTGGGTCAAGTTTGTATGGTAGATCACAACCCCGTGCTCCTCACTGCTTTTTCGATCTGTATTTGGTCCCCCAAATATGAACGAATTTGGCTACGATATGCATTTGCGGGAGAGCTTTAAAGTTTTTATGGGAAACGGAACAAAACTGTTCATAACCTTGTTTAAAATTAAAAAATAGCTCTATTTTGACCATACCTGAGACTTGAACTGGCCAATTCTGCATCATCCCAAGGTACCATGCCAGTCTTCTTAAACTTTCGATTTTATTTTTCGCCTGAGCGGAATTGGAGGTGACTGGGTGGATTAATATCGTTTTCGGTAAAATCCACTCCGTAGCAACGGTACCACTAAACTACCAGCTATAATGGAAGCTTTCCGAACCTGGCCAAAACATCACAGGTCCTTTGTGTGTCATAATAAACGGTAGTTTGCGTATTTTCACGTATTCTTACTTGCACAGAAGACTGATTTAAAATTTGAAATTTTTGGGACATGATCCACATTTGGTATCAAATTGACTGAGCTTCAAGGGCGTAGCCAGGTTTCGAGCTAGGGAGGGGCGAACCAAAAATCCACCAAACAATTTGAAGTTTGTATAGGAATTAGTATGGGAAATCCAAATTTGTTGTTCATTGTCTTCTACACTTTTCTATATTGCTTTGAAAGAAAGCTCGATAGCTATGCTTGTAGCAAATTTTCTCAGGTACATCTTGCAACTGTTTTGAAGTCACATGACAAATGAAATAGTTATTAATTATTTAAGGGGTTGGTAATCTTATAAACTGTCAAAGCTAGAGACAATCGCCTACCTTTAATGCATTGGCAGTGTTGCTAGACCCAATGTGTTCAATCTGCTCTGCTCTTATATTTACTAGACCCTCTATAGGCAACGCTTTATTCTGCAGTGTGACATAGTAGCCATGATTTTTGTGCTCTATTTCACTCACAAAAAACACCAATGGTGCTGCTGAGTAGTAAATTAAGCAAAATCATAAGTCACCAGCAACTTGAACCTTTAATAGCTTTTGTTTTTAACATTTAATCAATAAATGATCATCAGCAAAGCTGTAGTTGAATATATACTGTGCCAGCACACAGCAAAAAATAAATTTTAATATTACATCCAAGTGGATGCACTTCAATCATGTCGAAAATCTCATGTAATTTTTATGGCCACAAAAAATAAACAAATGCTGTAAAAGCAGCGTAATGTCAGTTCATGCACTGTTCTTTTTTTTTTTTTTCTTTTTGGCAAGGAATATTACACCATATTTTCGACACGATTGAAGTGCATCCACTTTGATGAGATATCAAAATTATTTTTTTGCTGCGCACAGCATCATCATTGTAGAGCAACATCAAATATACTACATTAACCAAATAGTTCCGAAGATAGGCGTGATCAGAAATTTTATGCCTCAGAAAATCCCGGCGGCGCCGATTGGGATTAAATCCAGGCCTTTTGAAGTGAGAGGCAATAACTACAACACTACACCACCGGCGTAGTGCTTTCGAAGTTTGAATTTCAATTGCGCAATCGTATTTTTACTACTGATTTAAAAAAAAAAATCACAAGAAAATCAAATAAATATATGAAATCTACATTTCGCCTAGAAAAAATAACAAAATTAACGTGTAGATAAAAGCATAGCATGCTATGGTCCATATAGACATATTTTAAAAGTTTATGAATTTACACCAACAATATTACTTCCTGTATGCCATTTGATTACCTATAGCTTAAAACATAAAATGTGGTACGAATCAAGTCGATAGGTTGTATCTTTATCGAGAAATCGTTAGAAACGTACCGTGTACCGACTTACTAACGCTTAAAAAAACTACAAGGAACAGCCCAATGGGGTTGTACGCAGTGATGACGTAGGACTACGTGGTATGATATAATAAATATTTTTGTTAACTCTGCAGCAGGAGCTTGTGTTTTGTGTAGGAATAGGAAATTTAGCGGGGTTCTCTCTGTTTATACTCTTTAGTATGACTATGATTGCCCTGAAAAGAACCTTTTGATATGAGTTTTTGTCCGGACATGTTCAGAAAATTAACTCTTTTGGAAAATGTTGGTGGTCCTGTAAAGTTTTTTTTTTTTTTTTTAATCTTTATTTTAGAGATTTTTAGCCTGAGGCTAGTTCATCTCTTGGTCCTGTAAAGGGCCGATGGTAGTACAGGCTTTGGAAGATGATTATGACGTGTAGGCAGCTGCGTATTCAGTGACGGCATCACGGATCACATTTTCTCGGCACACCTCGGATTTCCTCGTACATCAGACCGGAAATGAGCTTGACACCACCACGTCTAGCCAGACGACGAATGGCAGACCCTGGATGTTATCACACGGTGACACTTGGCGACTCCTTTACCAAATCTTTTGCCACTCTTGCCACGACCAGTCATGCCTTAAGAAAAGAGTTAGAGTAGAATTTTTAAAGAACTACAAAAATAGTTTTCACCATTAAGTTAAGGCTATTTTTTTCTCATTGATGGCTCTGTTCCATTGATAATAAGTTCGAAATTTGTAAAAGTGGATGGAACGCTTTGGATACATATTATGGTCAAAATAAGTCAAAAGAAATCATTCATCAAATCATAAAATCTATAAACGATTTCTTTAAGTTGTCGTCAACTTTTTTTGGAAAGCTATATGGAATTCACATGGATTTCATGCATTACATATGTGATATATTTTTTGAGTATATCCCCTGTTTCCAAGTTTGGTTACAAGATTACAACTCTGGAGAGCATTTTGTGTGGTCGTTGGGAGCGTGTGGTTCGGAATATGGCGATGAGTGTGCAAAATATTACGCAATTCCATCCTCCCTATTCGCACGCGGAGGCGAATGCCACTTTGACTTGTTTCGTCTACTTACTACTCTCTGACGACTGTGCTGGGGAAGCAGCATATGCATGTAGGTAATTGGTGGATTTGTTAGTTAAAACGACGCTTTTGGACAATGCTGGACATTTTCCAGTTTTTCAATAGTTTCTTTTTAAAAATCAACATTTGATGCGTAGTCATATTTCTGATCGATTGGTGATAAAATTATTGAAATTGGACCAGGGGCAGCTGAGTTATTAACGTTCAAAATCTTTCATAATTTGTTACATGTTCCATTTTCGGTTTTCACAAAGTGTACCCCCATATAGAAATCACAGACGTAGTCCTACGTCAAAACCACAGAGGTTGATTGGTGATAGATATCAAGAGAAATTTCATTATCAGATTCTCATGGTATCTTTGAAAGGTTTCCCGAGCAAAGCTGAAGATCAAATTGAAATCAAAATTTGTTGTTATGATGTAACTTATTTTGAAAACTCTAGTTGATCTCATTTTGGTTGACTTAACGGTTAACACAGCAAAATTGAGAGCAAAATTTTACACTGTTGAAGCAAACGGAAAACTAATCCTGCTTTCAATGAAATCAATTTAATTACTATTTTTGCATTCATAATGTTTAACTGAATACGGGCCTGGTATAAATGGTTAGCATCCATGCTTCTCACGCTGAAAGACTGAAAAGTTGAATAAGTCAAATCTCACCCCGGACAAGTCAGGAATGACCTAAAATGTGTTAAACAAAACAAATATACAATAATCATTAGTTAAACAACAGATGAACTTAAATTAAATTTTAAACAAGACGTTAAGAGCAGAACTTCAAGTTAAGTTGCTTTCATTTAAAAAGTTTTGACTGCATAATGAAATCACAATATGATATCAGACTTATGTCGCGACAATTGAAATCAAAATGAGTTTTCATTATGATAGAAACTGCAAATTTTAATATCGATTTGCTCTCATTATGTTAACCGACTTTGCTCGGGTTATCTTTACAAAAAAGTAGATTTTCCTGCATAATTTTCAATAGCATTCAATATCAGCTTTCAGACATATGAATCATAAGGTTGGAACAGTTGTTGTCATTAACATAAAAGTCACATTGTTGGAAATTAATGATTTTCTGTGAAATTACTAGTGATATAAAATTGCAACAGCATTAAAGTTAAAATACATTTGGAAAAGGATTTAGGGAACGGCGCCGGTGGTGTAGTGGTAAGCGTGATTACCTCTCACCCCAGCAGGCCTGGGTTCAATACCAGTCGTCGCCGCCGGGATGTTCTGAGGCATAACATCTCTAATCACGCCTTCCTTCGGATGGGAAGTAAAGCCGTTGGTCCCCGGTTCATGAGTTGATGGGTCGATAGGTAGGGTCCAGGTGTGGGAGCTGCCTTCCTGGCACGTCGGTAGCATTGGTGCTCAGCACGGAAAACAAGATCGACGGAAAAAACAAACCAAAGGAAAAAAAAAAAGGATTTAGGGAACCCAAAATTTAATAAGAATATCCCATAAAAAGTCACTCGAAATCCATTTGAGGTGTTCATTGATTTCATCCAATATTTATATCTTCACACTAATCCA